CAGTGCTGTTGGAGTTGCAACCGCTTTCATTGGGTGCTGCTGTTGTTGTCGTCGTCGTCGCTCCTGCTCCATGGCTTACCGCCTTTTTTCCTCTGAACCGGAATGGGCTGGTTTATTTGTCTCATCTCCCTCCACTTCGGAGGCAAGAGGTGGTGGTGGTGATTTGGAATCGACAGCCGATGATGCAGGAGATGCTTCACTTGTGTTCTATGTGTTGGCTTCATCCACCGAACCGGAAGCCGTTGCGGTAGACTCAGGGGAATTGATTACTCCACCAGGTGGCGGATTCGAAAGATCGTTGAACGACCGGTTGAGGTGAGTTAGTTTGGTGAGATCCTCCGACATGGACAACTCGTAAGGAGTGAAATTAAACAGTGGCGGTAAGGGCCTATTGTTCGGCAACCGCGTGTCCTCCATGCGAAGCTCATCAAAAAATCCATGCATCATAGCCTGGATTGTTTTGAGCCGTTTGCTCGGGGTATAGTCCAGACGCTGAGAGACAAGCTGGACTGCGTCGGAAGGCACGCGCGGGCGGAAAACTTTGGATCAGAGATGAGGTCGGATTTGAGGGAATAGAAACTCGCGATAGTCGGGATTCATTTNTGGGGTTCCGAGAACTTTGATTACTTCCACTAGCTGATCAACGCCACTATCACCAGGGAAAATGGGTTGCCCCAAAAGTAGTTCGGCCAGAACACAGCCAGAGGACCAAATATCCATTTGACACGTGTATTCAACTGCGCCAAAAATCAATTCGGGGGCGCGATAGTACCGCGAGCAGATATAGGACACATTGGGCTCACCACGCACAAGCATTTTTGCGCTTCCGAAATCGCATAGTTTGAGGACACCCGTGGCCGGATTGAGGAGCAGATTTTGAGGTTTTATGTCCCGATGACATATTCCTTTGTGATGTATATAGGCCAGACTTCGAAGAAGCTGGTACATATACAATTTTACAAATAAAATAGGAATGGTCTCTTTTTGGCGACTGTAACGACGTGCGACACGATAGACTGTTTCTGGGACAAACTCGAGCACTAGATTAAGATAAACATCATCCTTCCGTTCTCCGACAAAGTGAAAAAATACTTCAGCTGGACGATGTTCGGATGATCAAACTGCCGCATTATCTGGAGCTCTCGATTTTTCAATCGACGGTCTTGTAAGCCCTTCTTCACAGCAACTATTTCATCCGTATCACAAAGTCTGGCTTGATATACAACACCGAAGGAGCTATTCCCGATGACCTTTGTGTCGGTGTATGATATTTCCTTTGATTTATCACCTTGTCCAAGGTATGCTGAAACTGTCACTACCTTATTGGCATCTTTCAAGCTCATTTTATTTCATGACATTCATCGATGGGTGAGTTACCGGGTGAGTTACCGCGCGGTTTGAATTTTTGAACTGCTCTGCATTGTACGATTTTATTTGCGTTGAGTCGTGAAATAACCTTAGTTATTTCACAAACTTACCGGATCTTAGTATTTACTAAGGTCTATTTTTATTCGGAGAACTTACCTCTCCGACGGGTGTGTTTTTAAACAATGTTTTACCGTTTTCGTGTGCGACATTAGTGTGATTCTATCCGTTGTGTAGTTTTTTACCGATAATCTTGGAATTTTGTATCGCATACTCTTTCCTATTCGAGGAGGAATCAACTGTATAATGGCTGGCCAGTACAACCGTAACACATGCGGGAATAGGGCTTGCCAGAAAGTTGTGGTTTCTTGTATCCAGTGTGATAGGTGCCAGGTATCATCAGCTGTGTTCGAGCTTAACAAAGCAAGATTACCAGCTGCACACGAAGCATG